GACGGGACCGAGATGTCTTTTGCTGCTCCTGCTCCTGCTCCTGCTGCTCCGCCTGCTGCTGCTGTTGTTGTTGGTGGTGGCGGTGGCGGTGGCGGTGGCGGCGGCGGCGGCGGCGGCGGCGGCGGTGGCGGTGGTGGTGGTGGAGGCGGCGTGGCGGTGGTGGTGATGGTCGTGATGGTCATGGTGAACTGGTGACTAGTGAGTGCATTGTGCATGATGTCGGGATGCCGGTGATTGTGAGATTATGGTTGTAGTTATACTTAGATCAGATTCGATAATTGACCTCACCGTCACCTCGCTGCCGTCGGTCTCAGCGCCTGCGATGCGAAAGGCTGTCAGGCTGTCAGGGGAAGGCACTGAACGGAGCCAAAGAAGTTGCTAGGCAATCACTAGGCCACTAGGCAGTGAACTCGAACTTGGAGACTTGCTGAATCACTGAATCACTGCACCACTGCTCAGCACGGCATGTGTTCCATCATTCCTGGCACGGGAGTTTTGCCCCTTCCCCCGGCTGCACAATCTAGCCCTAGCATGGCCTTTCAAGCACCCTTGTGCAAGCCAGCAACAGCAGCAACAGCAACGCCCTCGGATTTGGATTTGCATGCATCAGCATCCGCCGCCTCCTCAGTAGTACTTGGCTGCCGCTTCCGCTTCAGCTGCTTTCGCTTTGCCTCCAAACCATTCTCCGTCTTCGACAAGCCTGCAACCGGTGATCGCCTCCGCTTGCGCTTTGGTGTACGGATTGCTGATTTGAAAACGGAAGGAGAACAAGCATCCCAGTCGGGGGTCACCATCGCTGCCGTCGCCTTGGATATGGACGATGTGGACGCCGTGGATGCCTCTGGCTCGCTGCTCGATTTCTTCACTTCCTCTTGGTTTGGGGATCCCGGGATTCGACTCTCCGGACTTGATGTAGTCGAAGTGCTGGGAGACATCGGCATCGCAGACCAATCCACTTGGATAGACGAAGCAGCAGAGCCCATGACGCACAAGAGAGGAATAGGCCAGAGATCTAACAAGGGATCTAGCTCGTGCCAAAACACTCATCCGAAGTAGTTCGATTCGAAGCAGTCCGACTGCACCGCATCAGCCATCATGAATCATGAAGAAATATGAAGTGAACCCTTCGTGGACCCCTCAGTCAGGCCGTCAGGAGAACGGCACAAGAACAGAACAGCTGGCCTGCAGCGTGACGAGCAGGCCAGCGGCGGCCAACACCTGAACCAAAGGACAACGGTGACTGAGGATATCATGTGTGGCAAAGCCGTAAGAAGGCTGATGATACTGTGGCCGCGGGTTGGAATCGGGTCGGAAGATCGCAATTCACACCGCATGACGCACGACGGCTATCACTGTCACGTCTACTACTGTCCCTATAGTCAGCATCATTCACTGGCACTGATCAATAGCAGTATAGTACCGTCACCGAGATTGCAACGACGACGACGATGCTCGCATGCAGAATCACTGAATGCTGAAGCGCTAAGCAAAACCAAGCAATAGCAATCATCACGTGATCAAGTGAACCTTTTACGAATCACGGATGGGACGGATGTTCAATCTTATTAGATGAGATGGGAGAGTGTCTGATATTGCAAACTGCGAACGGAGCCATACGATACAGGCCGACACAGGCTACAGAGGGGGGCGTTTTCTCGCTGCCGCTTTGTATCCGTCTTTACCTTGGGACAAGCGACACTTCCCCGTCGGAGTGGACAACCAAAAAGAACCTCTGACCAGACTTGACCGACACGACATCTTCGATCTGCCAACACGAGTTGACGGTGCCCCAACAGATCAGCTCCTTGTCGCTCCGCAGTGCGGCGAACCTGTTGCTGGTGGCAGACAGGCACACCACGTCGTACAAAGTGTGGCGAAGGTATTCGATGTCACCGCCGAAGTCTGGCCGCCCCCACGTGACGATGGATCTGTTGGCAAGAATGGCAGCGAATGCTGAAGACGTTGCCTGAAGCTCCACGACAGTGTGCAAATATTGATAAGCAGCAGTGCAATCACCACCGAAGTTTGGGTGGCCCCATGCAACGGCTGATCCATCGTCCAGAATTGCAGCAAAGGCCCCGTGATTGCCGAGTAGCTTGAAAACGGGCCTTGCAAGCATCATCCCTGGCAATTCTCCGCCGTACTCCTCGTGGCCCCATGTCACGATATGCCCATTCGACAGCACCGCAGCGAAGGCATACGAAGTGTGTGCAATCCGTTGCACGACGTGATGGAGTTGTTGTTGCACTCGACGGCTATCACCGCCTTTGTCAGGGGCACCCCATGTCACAACCGATCCATCAACACGCACCGCAGCAAATGCATGCTCGTTGGATTGGATAAAGGAAACCCTCTCCAGCTGAGACTCTACCTGAAAGCTTGCACCACCATCGGCAACGTCTCCCCATGTCACGACATACCCTCTGTCCGTGACAGCTGCAAAAGCACACTGAGTCGCCTGAATGGCCTTGATACGGCCCTGGATAGCGACATCGACGACCGGCGAGGTTCCACCCCACTGTGCATGTCCAAATGCACCCAAGGATCCATCCATCATAATCGCAGCAAAGGCGCACTGGTTGGACTTCAGACAACGTACTCGCCTGAGCAGTGGCAGTGACCTGCAGTCTCCACCAAGAGACGGATGGCCCCATGCCACCACCGACCCGTCAGTCTTGATGGCAGCGAAAGCATAAGGTGTAGCAGCGATTTCCGACACGCCATCTTGAAGCTGGGCCGTGACTGCAGACGAGTCGTCGCCCCAGCCGTAGCCCGCCGTCCTGACTCGCCCATCTTGCAGAACAGCGAAAGCGTTGGTAGCAGATTGGACCACCGGCAGTGCCATCATTAAAGAATCAGGTGCTTGGAATCTGGAGTTGGGTACTTCGGCAAATTAAGCCCTTTTGCAGACTTGTAGAGTGCTTCTCATACGGATGCGGCATATTTTTGGTGGGGCCCCTCAGCGACCCAACGCCGCCTCAATATCAACATTTGAGCCCTCATCTGATGTGACGGTGGCAGCGACGGTGGCATGGTTTGATGGTGTTTGGGCTTTCGGGCCGGGCGGGCTGGGAAGCCAAGGTAAGCGGTTGCGGTGACCTACTGCAACCACTGCAACCTCTCAGGAAGCACTTCAGCGTTCAGTGTCCAGCGTCTACAATTCTACAAGTCAACATGACTGACAGTCGTTATTGCATTTAGCCCGACAAAGCGTACGGCAGCTTGCGGTATATCGGCATGCTGGTTCTAACGGTCAAGACGGCTCAGGATTCTCAATTCTCATGTACTGTACGGTGTCCAGCACTGGAATGCTGCAACTGTCGTCTTATCATGTAACATTCACAGCCATGTAGTCCTAGGCCCTAGGCCATGTTACAGGCAGAGACAAGCAGGCATCCAGGAATACAGTGACAAGCATGGGTGACCCTGGGGGTGATAGACCCTCTGAATAAGGTTCCTTTTTTAAGAGAGCCAGAAGGAGGGTTCAGAAGCGGTCAAGGCTTCAAGACCCTTCAGTTCAAGGTGCCTCCCAAGAGACAGAAATTCAGTGCAGAAGTGCAGAAGTACCCAACTCCAAAGCTTCAGATTCCAAGCCTCAAGCCTTAACTCCCAAAGCTCCGACGATTCCAAACTAAAAGCAAGCTCAGCTGCGGCTGCGGCGCCTGCTGTAGATCCTCAGCGCCGCGGAATCACGACGGACCAAAACTGTTCCAAACCCCAACAAGTAACAAGGACTGTCTGACTGTCTGGATAGCTGACATGATGACATGTTTGAAGTTGTTGCAAGCTGTGTTGGCGGCATTGCTGCTGAAAAGCTTCTGAATTTGTTGTACTGGTGGCATTGCTCAGAAGCGTCTCGTCTGGTGGCTGGTTACCGCTACCGGCTACTGGCTAGGTACCAGTTTTCTTTTCTGCATGTCGTTCACGTTCGTCGGGCGTGTGACTGTGTGATGCAGTGATGCAGTGATGGCTTGTGAACTTGCGGAGTTGTGACAGTGTGACAACTACCGTCCCGGTCCATGAGTCCATGATCCTCGAACCACGAAAGCTGCGAGACATAGAGTAGTGGTGATGAGACGAACTGAACTGACTGGCTGACTGACTGGTAACACTAGAAGCTGCTACACTTGCAACAGAGCATCTCCTGGCAACAAGACATTCCATTCCAGACTGATTCAAAACAGGTGACACCAACATTGCATACATTGCAGCATACTACTACAGCAGCCCTATAGCATACTGTTCATGCCACAGCACAGCCATGCAGTCCGGGCCTATGCATCAATGCATTGTTGTTGCACCAGTGACACGTCATCACACCGCGCGACTGTGCGAACATGCGTCCAGATAATGTGATAATGGGAGCTCGATTGCAATTCGCCGCTACTTCGATGCTTTTTGTCGCAAGCATGCGCATGACACAGATACGCTTCTGTGCGGTCTGTCCGGCTTGGTCCGGTTGGTCTGTCTGCAGAGACCCGCCACACTGGCACACGAACTCCAACGCAACAGTTGACACTCTCACGTTGCTGCAGCTACATTGCTATTCGTTGCTACGACCCGATACGGCCCGATACGAAACCCGGCCGGAAGCCTTGCAGTAGGTCTCTGACGGTCCCTGACTCTGATCCTAACTTATCAACAATCGACAATCGCAGTATGGCAATATGGTATGGCAGTATATCAACAGCAACAGCCACCGCCAATGACAAATCATCACTTCAAGATGTGCTTGCCGAGCAGGAACACTTGCGTGACAATGTCGGACTTGGCGATCTTGCTCTTCTTGACCTTTTGTTTGACTATGCCCTCTGTGGTCGCATGTTCAACAGCCGCCGTGGGCCCGAACAGCACCTCCGAGGATGAAGCACTTGACGATGCTGCCGCTGAGCCTGACTTCATCTGGGCTTGCTCCAAAGCCGCCTGCATGAGACGGGCCCGGTTGGAACGCCCCGCAGACGTCGCGTCCTCTGATACCAGGCGGACCAATGGAATCGAGGATGGTTTCTTGATGGACTCCGTGCATGGATCACCAGCTCCTCCAACTTGTCCTCGCGATCCAACATGTTCCTGATCGCTGCGACCTGATCCGCGGGCTTCTCCGGGATTGCCATACCCCAGGCTGTCAGCAGCTCCACGGCCTGTGAGGCCTGGGCTGCGTCTGTTGCATCCTCTTCCGGGGTAGCCTCGGTGTCAGCAGCCTGGGCTTTCTGGCCCTTTTTGGCATTTTTTTTGGCTGCTTTCTGCTTTTTTGCTAGAGCTTTTGCGGCGGCCTTTTCGCTCTGTGTGATCCAACCCCGGATCGTCTTCTCCACCGCTTTTTGCTTCTCGTGGCAGTCATCAAGCCGAGCCTGGACATCCCGCATTGGTGCCAGTGTTGGCACCTTGATATCCAGGAGGATGTGATTCCGTGGCATCGTGGATGGCAGCTTATGCTTATCCACGAGAATGATCCGCATGCTCTTGAGCTTAGACCACGACCATGCGTCCAACTGCTCCTGGTTCTTTTGCGACTCCTCCGCCTTCTTCTCCGCGTCCTCGTCCATGACATCCATGGCGCCGGCAGCATCCGCATCAGTCTGGAACCACAGGGCCGCAGTGTAGATGTGGGTCCTCTCTTCGAAATAGGCCTGGTCTTGTCTCCGCACCGATTGTGCGGCCCATGCCGGAATGCAAATGTCGCTTGTCAGGGGATCCTTCAATTGTTCCATGTAGTAAGACACCTAAGTCTTTGCGGGAACTTAGATGTGTATACAACACAGTGATAGTATACAGAACAACGAGCGTCAGTCCAGAGAGAGAGAGAGAGAGAGAGAGAGAGAGAGAGTAATAGGGAGAGACATCCAGAGAGAGAGAGAGAGAGAGAGAGAGAGATTCGAGAGATGGATGGACCAACGGATGGACATGACATGCATGGATCGGGATCGAGCGAAGAAAGAGATAGATTGTCCTGGAATCATGTGGCAACTACATCTATGTGGCCTGTGTGACGTAGAATGCGTTGTAGGTACACACACACACACACAC